AAGTCCTTTGGGGTTTTTTGAAAGATTCTATTTACTTTTAGAGGGGGGAAAGGGAGGGAGAAAGAGAGGGAGAGAAACATCAGTGTGTGGTTGCCTCTCGCACACCCCCTACTGGGGACCTGGCCCAAAAGCCAGGCATGTGCCCTGACTGGGAATCGAACCGGTGACCCTTTGGTTCACAGGCCAGTGCTCCATCCACTGAGCCACACCAGCCAGGGCTCACATAAGTTCTATGGAACCCCAATGTGTCTTCAGGAAACAGAAGGTTCCTGAGACCAAACTGTGCTCAGACCACCAACCTCGTCCTGCCCACCCTGCCCCTACTATCTACCCCCCCCAACCCTAGGGGACCTAGGGATGCAGGACCCAACCCCCACCTGCAAGCCCGAGGAAGAACCACGCCTGTTGTCCCCACCGGACATCCAGAGCACCACTGGGGGCGCGTGAGGGTCCCCGTCAGCCACCGGAGGAAGATGCCCGTGTCCCATCTTTCCGGATGCTTCCCGTCACCCCCACTTCCTCCGCCCGCAGTGAAAAGTTCCCCACAAAACTTGATTAAATCCCTCTGGACTCCCTCACAAAGCCGCACCCGAGACATCACCACTGTTCCCACTTACAGCCGGGAACGAGGGAGAAACAAAGGACCCTTCGGTCCAGCCAGTCGGCGTACGAACACCATTCCATATGAAAACATTTAAAATACATTAGATTTTTGGTCAAGATGAAAGACAAAAATAAAAAAAAAATCGAGCAATCTATTCTAATTGGGTTCCCATGGCAACTGTACCATCGGGTTTTTCAATATAACATCCCTAAGGCCCATGCACACGCGTAACGCAGACTTCAAACAGCCTGGGTTGTTTTCGCACCGCCGCGCTCCCGGGAAGATCCATCACCACAGTCCCCACGCCGGCCGGGAGTGGCGGGGGGCTGAGCACCACGGGCCGGGGTGGCGCGGGCACAGAAGGGGCAGCACCCATCACGGCGACCACGTGCAGCTAGTCCCCTAGTCTGGCCTCGTCAAACCGGCCTGGGCGATAACCCCGCAGGGCTGCTGTCGCGGAGCCACGCCTAGGAGACGGGGGAGTCGGGCCCAACCGCACCCGCACCATTATCCCTCCCATCGATCTCAGGGAGGCACAGAATCGATCATTAATAATTACATTAGAAGATGGCCCGCAAGGTTAATCATATTCTTAGAGACTCTCACTATGGAATTAAACAGCAAACATAGCTGGGCTGACAAATAAGCAAGTAAAACAGGACTGAGAATTCAAATCCACCCTTTAAACAGTAACGGGCCAGCACGTGCCCTCACCGGGGGCTCTAGACCCTCCCGCCCCGGCCAGTCTGGCCCCTGGGGGGCCCCACCGAAGCAGATGCTAGGGCCACGGGCCCGCCCACACTGTCGGGGCACAGGAGCCACAGCCCAGAAACGGCACTGTCCTTCCGGTGAAGCTTACAGCCTACGTTTCCTGGCAACAGCCCTAGAAACCCCTACGCCCCAGATGCCCTCGGCAGGCCCGGGGAACTGGTGGCGGTGCCGAGGTACACTTAAGGCCCTCCTACCGACTTTATGCACGCCCCGTCTCTGGTCCTGCCTCCACTGAGCTCAGCTGGCGGCTCTGAGCTAACCAGCGTCAGCTGTCACCGTTAGGCGCTCGGCGTGTGCCACACTGGGCAGGACCCCCGGACGGGGCTCCCTCCCGGCAGTCCCCCGGCGGCTCTACATGCGGTAGTGTCGTCCTCCCTGTTCTTGGAGAAACCAAGGCTTAAAAAGATGAAGTAACTACCTTAAGGTCACAGACAGTCACGGGTGGAAACAGGTCCAAACTGAAGCAGTCTTGTCCCCAGAGTCTGCACCCATAACCCTGCGAACCCTGCCCCAAAGGAGGGCCTGGGCTGTGTGGAAACCCGTGCAACAGGGATGCTGATTGGAAGGGAGGGGAACAGGGATGCTGGCTGGACCAGAGCGAAATAAAGATGCTTACTGAACAGGAGGGAAACAGGGATGTTGATTGGACCAGGGGGAAACAGGGGTGCTGATTGGACCAGGAGGAAACAGGGATGCTGATTGGACCAGGGGGAAACAGGGATGCCAATTGGGCCAGGGGGAAACAGGGATGCTGATTGGACCAGAAGGAAACAGGGATGCTGACTGGACCAGAGGGAAACAGGGATGCTGATTGGACCAGAAGGAAGCAGGGATACTGATTGGACCAGGGGGAAACAGGGATGCTGATTGGACCAGGGGGAAACAGGGATGCTGACTGGATGGGAATGAAACAAAGGTGCTGACTGGACTGGAGAGAAACAAGGATTCTGGTTGGTTCCTCACCTTTTTTCTAATTATAATCTCATCCTTCTACAGCACTGTGGTTCCAGGCTAATATTTCTATCCAGACAGTAAGTCATACTTCAGAAAATACTCATTTGTCATTCCACACACTTACACGCGACCAGGTAGCCAGAATACGACCCCTCCCATCGGACAGACGAGGCAGCTGGGGGGTGGGTTACCAGCCGCCCCACTCGATCCCCTCACGAATAAATGGCATCACCAGACCCTCTCTACTGTTGCCCCCACAGCTCTGGCTCTCCCTCAATGAAAACTCAACTCAGTCCCACAACACAGGCAGGCGTCCAGCTGTGCATCCAAACGGTAACCCCTACCCGAGACCTGGAAAACGCTTCGGTCCGGAGGGGCGCGAAGAGGACAGAGGACAGTGAAATGCAACGTGGCTTCCGTGCCTAACGTGCGTCTGTAAAACTCACGCCCAAGCCTGGGTAACATCTGCGTCTGCTGTCATAACCACGAGCCCGAAAACCGTGACGCTTTGATAACATGTTAGGTTTGCAACGTGAAGAGATTCACACGTCTCCGAGGAGTTGCAAAACCGCACGCCCAGATCCATCAGCACAGGCAACTGAGAGTGATGCCGGCCACCGCTAAGGATCCGTCTGGACGGGGAACTCCGGGGCCTGTCCGGCCGGAGGGTGCCACTGCTCAGCCTCACGAGGCTTCCCCACAGCTGCTCCAATGCTCGGGGCTGCCGGGACCTCCAGGGGCTCGCCCAGACACGGCCCCCAGGCTCCGACCCGGCAGGTCTGCCGGTGGCCTGCCTTCCCAGCCGGCACCCTCGAGGATGCGGACACCGGCAGGGCCGGCACGCCACTCTCGGCGGTCCCTCCCCCGACAGGGAGCAACAGGTCCCATGTCCCCGGGTGTGTGGGCAGGCGGCTCTTCCTAATGACACCAGAGAGGGTCAAACTCTGCAGGTGGGTCCTACCTTCAGTCCTTGTGATTGGGGTGTGAGCTGTACCACTCACTTCTTGAATTTCCACATTTAAGTTCCCCACCCCCTTCCCCCCGCCCAGACTCGGTTCCCTCCCTTCGCCCATCCAGATCGCTCTAACAGCCAGTGCCGAATGGCCCAATCTGTCAATAAGGTAAGAGTTTTCTAAACTACTATCCATATGACTCAATTTGTCAGTAAAAACTGCCACCAGCGCTGCGCTTGCAGAAAAATGTCCATAAATGCATTATTGCGACGGGCAGATCGATGTCTATAATAAAAACAAATAGATTTAACAAGTGCCTGCTTCCCCGAGCGACGCCATTGGTGGACAGCCCATCCGGGCTCGCCCGGACTTCTGGGAGCGGGTCGCAGAGCGGGGCGGGGAGCCCCGGCGGAGAGCCCCCGCTGACCTCGCGAGCGTTGCGAGCAGGAAATTATTCTAACAAGAATATCTTCCACACAGTCGAGGGAACGTGCAAGGCACTTTGAGCTGCCTCAGAATTCCTTCCATGGTCTCACACACACACACACACACACACACACGACAAATTTCACAACCGAGAGAAAACGTGTTGTGGAATTGGTACCGGATGTGCCCACAGCTGCATCACAGGCCAAGTGAGTTTACCTTGGGGTGGGGGTGAGGGGGAGACCCCTCCCTCCTCTGCTAAGCACCCCCCCCCAACAGAAAACAAGCGGCGGCGCTCAGCCCCTGGCTGAGGATGTCACTGCTGTGTCGGTGGCCCCTGGGACAGCCTGTTCGGCTGCAGCGGACAGCAGGCGGGGCTGCCACAGATTCTCACTGTGGCTCTGCTGCTCGTGGTTCTGCGCACCTCGGCGAGACGCTGTAAATCCGTGACAGATCTACACGGGAGCCAGAGCGGCCCAAACCGCTCCGGCTCCTTCGAAGGTTACAAAAGGTCACAAACATGGCGGATCCCTCCCCTTAGCCAGTTCACTTCAACGGCCACACAAGGAGCAAGCCCCATGCTGTCGGCCACATACCATTCACGACCTGGTTCCCAAACCCTGCCCCCCCCCCCCCACCCCGGACAAGCCTTTCACGGCTGCTTCGTTTTCATCAAAAGACAACCACCCTCTTTCCACCGACCAACAGCTGCAGGGCCGTGGCCCAAAGGCCACAGGACGCACATCTTGCAGTATTTCGTCTGCAACACCGGCTCTCAGACTTTCATCCACCCGCGCTCCAGCCAGGCCTGCAGAGCTCACGGAACGGGAAAGGTCACCACCGGCCAGCGGAAAACTGGCCCTCCTGGACGTGACCCCCGCCCGCTCCCAGGCTAACCACACGCTCTTTCACTTCGGACCAGGAACAGGGCGTTGGGGGAGGGGCGCGCGTCTGTCACGAGTGGGTATGACAATACTGGTGCACAGTCCACTCTCGCCCGCGGTGACCCTGCAGTGCACGGGTCGGGTTGGTTAAATCTATTCTAGGACACCCGGTCTCTTTCCCAGAGGAGCTGAGTCAGACGCTGCCCACCCCAGGACGCAGGGTCAGGGAGGAGCACTGTGACAAGGCCCCGGGGGTGGGGCTTTTCAGAGACCAGAGGCCCCGGAAACTGACCCTCCGGGGAAGTGGGCGGAGAACAGGAAGGCTGCATGGCGGGGGGGGGGGGGGGGGCCAGGGCGGGAGGCAGGGTGGGCGGCAGGGTGGGCGTGCAGCGTGAAAGCAAACCTCACCGCAGGAGAGGGGAATCCGGTGACGGGGTTGTGCTTCCTTTTCTTTTCTACCAAGGAGAATGGTCCACCACCTGGAAAGGGCGAGGACGCCCCAGAAAGGGGGCTGAAACAGGAGAATCTGGGGGTTCAATCACTGGCTCCTAAATGTCCTCTGTAAAACAAAGACGACCCAGTAAGGCCACGTTGTTGAAAACGACTGGGAGCAGTGACCTGTACTCGCATCCGGAGAGAAGAGCACTGAAGGAGAAACGGGGCGGGACCGCCCAGGGTCTGCTCCTTCGCAGGCCCCACCCCCCCTCCTTCCTGTGTGCAGGACTGACGAGGGTGTAGGGACCCTCGGGACAGGGGGCCCAGTGCAGGACAGGCCTGGGGAGGCTCAGCTGAGAGCCAGTCGGGACCCAAACAGAGAAGACGAAAGGCCCGGGAAGCCCAGCCGCGGAGCAGGGGCGCAGTGGCACCCTCCGAGGGCGCACCGAGGGCTGTATTTCTTCCAACCTGCCTCTCTGGGCGGGACGCCTCTTTAAAGCAGAGTCTACTACTACGAGCTAAACCTCGCTCTTGTAATACAGGCCTGCTTTAATGAAAAGAATATTCGCAGAGAAAATTACCTGAGTATGCTGCACTGGAGGCCTGGTTCACCCAGCCCCCAGGATATTATTCAAATTCTGACTCCAGGCAAGAGCCCAGGAAGCCAGCTCAGCCCACCCCAGCGGCGTGGGGATTCCCGCCTCGTCTGAGTCTGTGCGGCCTGATGGGGGCCGTGCAATGGGAATTCACACACGACCCACCACCAGCCTGGGTGAGGGTTACACCGTTTCCTGAAAACTCTTTGCCCCTCATAATGTGGCAGATTCGCCTCTAGTTCACCTCCCTGAGTGTTTTGTCTATTGAGGACTCTGGAAAACCCCCCCAAGCACCTCCCGCTCTGCCGCCTCGGGATGGGGAGCGAAGCCAGAGACGGCCCGGTTCGCAGGTCAACCACCGTCCAGCGCTCGGTGCTTCCTCTTCAACTGCGGAGCTTCGGCCGCCGACAGCTGTGACCCCTCTCCGCACAGAGCAACGTCCCTGCCCCTTCCTCCGACCACTGTCCGCCGGGCCCAGCGAAAGCTGTGCTCGCGTGCACGAGCCGCACTTCCAGGACAGAGAGCCAGCCCCTGAGCGGAGGCACTGCGGGGAGAGCCGGCTGGGATTCAGAGGGTGAAGAACCGCGGTGCGAGGAACCGCTCGCTGGCTGGGAACCGCTCTCCTGTCTTACTCCCGCCTGGAACTCACAGCCGGTGAGAGCGCCTCTCAGACTCCACCCGTTTGCTCCAGGGGTGCGCGGAGCCAGCCAGAGAGGGTGTCGGGCACGCACACACCAGCCACCACAACGAGGACCCCCACCTGGGCCGCCTCTCCACCTGTCTCAAACGAGGGAGAAATGTGGAATTCTGCACTAGGAACCTACTCAAAGCTTAGCTGCTAGGGAAGGCCCCAAGAGGGGCTTCTGGAAGCATCTTGGGAACCGAAGGGGAAGCAGCAGTCCCCTCGGCGCTGGAGAACAGGGCGGGGCAAGATGGTGGGCAGAGACAGAGTGGAAGGGGCTGGCCCCCTGGAGGCGGGGCAGGCGCTGCCAGGTCCCCAGGCCAGGCCAAGGGCACTACAACTTGGTCCAGGAGCCGCCGACCTGGGGAAGCCGGGCGCACGTGTGCACACCTGGGCATACCTGGCACAGCTGGGCATACCTAGACGTACGGGGGTCCTGTGCGGGGTGGGCGGGGCGGGCTCCACCTGCGCAGGGAGACCACTGGGGGAGGGGATGTCCCACGGGCTGCAGGCGCCCGCCCTCCTCTGGGAGAGCCCTGAACGTGGGCAGAAAGGGGGGCAACGCGGGCACTCACCGCCTCGCCCAGGGCACAGACTGCCAGCAGCTGCGAGCACTGGGAGGGCGGTCACGCGACCGCGGCCTGGGCACGTCCGGGGCGCGGGGGGAGGGGCCTGGGCGCGCGGGAAGCGGCGCAGGGCGCGCGGGGGCGGGGCCGGGGCAGGGCCGGGGGCGGGACCCGGAGCGGGGCGGGGCGGGGCTTGGACTCCCGGAACCCAGTGCTGCACGCGGAGGAGGAGCCGAACGCGGGCCCCTCCCACCCCGCCCGCCCGCCCGCCCGCCCGCCGGCCCGCGAGCGCCGGCCTAGATTAGAGCATGCCCAGTGCAGCGGCACCCGGCGGCCTGCTGTGCGCAGCCTCCTAGGCCGACGGGTCTGGCCTCGGCCTCCGCAGCATATAATCCAGTAGCCTCAAGCCCTTCCAGCCCCGCTGCAGGCCGGGAGGAGCTCCTCCCGCCTCTGCCTCTGGCTGTGCCTCAGTTTATCAACTGTCAGCTGCTCCCTGTGTTGCCTCCAGCTGCTTGCAAAGAGAGTGGCGGCACCAGGTGTACTCTGTAACCCTGCTTCTTGTGCCCACCCTGGGGTGGCTGCACGCTGAGGAAGGGGCTGCTCCCACAGGGCAGCACCTGCAGGACCCAGTGGGGCACCGTTCCAACCTTATGTGCAACACAGGGGCCTGGGTCAGCCCCTAGTGCAGGTGGTGGGCGGGGCCGCGCAGGGCCCCGGAGATGCCTCCTGGTCCTGTCTCAGTCATTATTCGCTGAGCACGCGGGTGCCGGGCACTGCTTGGTGTTGTGCAGACATCATCACGGATTTAACTGTGCCCACCCAAGAAGATATGTTGGAACCCTGAGCACCCCCGCCCACAGTACTCAGAATGTGACCTTATTTGGAGATGGGGTCCTTTTACCAAAGCAGCGCGTTAAAAGGAGGACATTAGGGTGGGCCCCTAACCCAGTATGCCGGGTGTGGGTGGAAGCCGCAGGCCACGTGCACACAGACACAGGCATCCCGGTGAAGTCGGAAAACGGAGGATGGACCTACACCAGGAACACCGGGGCGACCAGCGGGCGGAGCAGCGGGAGCACCGCCTGCCCGAGAAGACGCCTGGGTTTCAGACTTCCGCCTTCCCGAAATGGGAACTCCCTCCGCCAGTTGCTCCAGGCCTCCCAAGCTGTGGTACTTTCCTGGCAGCCCTCGGAGACAAACAGATACCTTGTGTCCCATGTGACTGGCGTAAGGGCCCCAGGGAGTGCTATCTCCCCTGCCGCTCCGGGGAGGTTTCACACTGCTTGAGGATTTCAGGGGTCCCATCCCCGGCCCACCCCCTAGGTCCTGTTCGCTTACCAGGAAGGACATCTTGGCCTTCTCCGCGTGTACAGCTCCTCCACTGGGGTGTGCCCGAAATTCATGCTTCAGTATCTGTGTCTCGAGGGACCCGATGCATTAACACTGCTAATGAAACGTGGCTCAGGGGCCCTCCCAGTGCTCCCTTTGTGAGGAGCTTAGGGGCTGTCCGCGGGCTAACAGAACCAATAGGACCGTGGATGCGCTCGGGGCCCCCACCCCAGGCCGCACCTTGGCTGAGACACCTTAGAAGGAGCTGCCCCTAGAGAGCGAACGAGGCCCTGGGGACACCACGGCGATCTAATTCAGGCACCTTTTCTCCAGCGAGCCTGGACACGGCCTCAGGGTTCTCGGGGCTGCCCCGGACAGCCATGGCATCTGAGGTGGGACGGCGGGAGAGAGGCGACACCTGTGCCGCCTGTCCTGGGCCTTTCCGAGCTCACTGCGAAACTCCAGGAAACTCTCAACAACTGGAGTCCTCGGGTGCGTCACCTGGGGAGGAGTGTTGTAACAACCTACTCCTTGTCGGGCGTGCACACGGAGGGAGTAGTTCGCACAAAGGACAGCAGTCCCCCTGTCCTACAAAGTCTTGTGCGGGGACCGGATCAGAACTGGGGGCCCCACGGCGCTGAAAGGGAAAATAACACCAACGTTGCATCGGGGTGCCTGCCGCCGTCCTGACCTGTGTGCGTTGCGATGTAGTCACACAGATGAGGCGTAAATCATGCCTTTCTTTTTCTCTGAGCAGTATTCTAATATGAATTCCTAAGCTAGTCATAAGAGGCGCTAGCTAGTGTTAGTGTCTCCGATTCCCACGGCAGGACAGAAAGGCCACTGTGGCGACCCCGTGGCCTGGAAGGGGATGGTGTGGTGTCGAGAGGGTGGGTTCCTGATGGATGAGGAGGAGAGCGTGGCATGCAGGCGAGGCGCATGGGCCGGGCTCTGCTGGCAGGACACGGGTGCCCTCGCTGGGGAGGTGGAGGGACACTGCAGATGGCCGCACTGGGGACTCGCCAGTGAGCAGGGCTGGAATCCCCACTCTCTATGCTTCCTGGGAAATTCTTCCATTCCCGGTGATGATTTTCAAAACCTCACATTTTTACCTCCAAGCTCCCCCACGCCTTGCCCCCCGTGCCGTCACGCCGACCCTCATCACAGGCACTTCCTGTCCTTACAGCGACCGGAGCCTCCTGCCCCCTTGGGGGCCGGCCAGGTGTGCCGGAGGGGCCGGGGTCGGGAGGCCGGCGCCCGCCGTCTCCTTCTGTACGGCAACAGCCTCGCACCCGATGGGCCAGGTTCCCGTGGGAGGGGGTCCCATCCTGGATTCACAAGCCCCAACCCATTCTTCTCCAGACACGGGGCCCCTTGAAGGACTTTTCACAGAAGGGGGGGCGGGGCAGCCGCAGGAGCAGGGGCTCACTGCGCGCTGAGTTCTTCCCGCGCCTCCCGGACGGAAGGACAGACTCCCTGAAGACCCGCCCACCTCCTCCTGGGCTCCTCGGGCGGCGCTGATGTGTGTCGCCCCTTCAAACACCCAAACAGCTACCTTTCGGGTTAATCAGGCGAACACGCGTGATGGCTCCCCAGGACTTGCAGCCCGAGAAACGTGTTTAATAAGCCTCTCTCCCAGCTACCCCAGCGACACGGGAGACCATTTACAAGGAAGCTGTCTTCAGTAGTCAGGCTTAATCCCCACTGCCCTGCCTTTGGGAACAGAGGGGATTTCGTAACGATCCCATGAAAGCCTGTGTGGTCGGACAGCCCCGGACTCCGGCCCGGCACGCCAGCGTCGAGTAACATGGGGAACACGGCCGGGCGCTGCCCCCCTTCCGTGTCTGACGCGTGGTTTTCTCTCCCGAGAGCGTCTCCAGTGGAAGCCGCCGCCGATTCACACGACTGACTCTCAGGCCGGTGCTCCTGGGAAGGCTGGAGCCCAGAGCAGGCCAGAGTCGGCCCCCTGGCCACCCCCCGCCCCCCGGGCTGGAGCAGCCCCCTGTGTGTTCGGACAGGGCTGAGGCCCGAGGGGTCTGGGGCAGGGAAGAGGACTGGTGGGCCCCGGGCAGGTGCCAGGAGTCTCTGGTGACACGCCGACCTCAGCGTAGCTGGGACCTTTGTCACTGTGCGTTGGCAGCCTGGAGTGTCCTCTCCAGGATGCGGGAGCAGCTGCGTGCCCGGCCCCGTGCCGCATGCAGGTGGCCGCACACGGAGCCCACCTGCGGAGGACAGCCGCTCGGGTTGGGGGGCGGCGTCAGGACAGCTGCTCAGGTTGGGGGGCAACGTCAGGAGAGGCCCGAGAGAGAAACCGACTGGCAGCACGGGCTTCTCCCAGGGGCCTCGCCACACAAGCAGAGACCACTGTGACCGCGGAGCATGGGGCCCTTTGTCACTGGACAACGGTCAGCCCAGGTCGTACACAGCTCTTCCTCCCAAACAGCGAGTGTGTCTGTGAACACGCGAGTGAGGGCCCGCCGTCCCCTGTGTGTGTGTGTGTGTGTGTGTGTGCCTGGGGGGTGCACCCGGAGTGTGCCCTGCGCCTTGGGGGAGTTTTCCCTGCCTGCCTGGGGCGGTCCGGGTGGGGGTGGCTCAGGGCTGGGGGTTTTCCTGGATGCTGGCCTTTTGGAAAGAGGCTCCCACACTCACAACAACGTGTTCTTGATCCACTTTTGGGAAGGGCTTTGTTTGTAACGTGCTGTTGGTGGTTTGGGCAGAATCCTTTCAGTGGCATGAGGTGGCCCTGGGTGTCCAGAGGGGGTGGGTCTCCCTGCCAACCCCCGCCGTCTGGGGTGAGCGGAAGCATCTGGTTTTCTGCCACTTGGAAATCGAAGCGAGAAACGTGGGGACTGCGATGCTGAGACAGTGGCCCGCCCTCGTCTCGCTGCCCGGGGAAGGACAGGTGGGGACTAGGACAGGACACGGCCACGCCGAGGTTCTGCCTCAGACGCCGACGTGTCCGACTGGGAAGGACGAGCACTGTGTCGCTCCCGAGGGGACTCCTTCGGCCCTGCCCTGGTGCCCGAGCCGTTGATTTAGAGTAACAGGAGGCAAACTTGGGGAGGGTGGCAAGCAGGTGAGCAGCAGAACTGGCGGTGACGGTGCCGCGGCGGCTGTCTGTCCAGTCCGTCCCATTGTCTGCTGGCAGGAGGTGCTCTGGGGAGTTAGGGGGGACAGGGAGGTCCTGGGGTGGTCCCTCCATCCTTGTCACCAGCGGCCCCTGGAGACGAGCCCTGCTCAGCTCGGGGGCAAAGGGGAAGGGACAGGGCAGAGGCCTCCTTCCCAGCCGGTCAGGGAGGCGGCCGACGCAGCCGGCGATGCCCTCACTGCCCAGGGAAGGGCCTGCCGGTGTCGGGAGGACGTAAGCTGGTGCAGCGCAGGGCGGCGAGGGATGGGGGGCTGCAGGACACCGGAGACGGGCCGGCGCTCCTCCCAGTCACCCCCAGATACAACCGTGTCTCTGCCTGTGACCGCAGCGTGGCGTTGTTTCTGCTCGGCTTCCCCGGGGTCAAAACAGACCCCTCTCCCCTCGCCTGCGGGAAATATCCCCAGAAAGGGCTCTGCGTGGGCCCGCCCAGGGGACTAGGGCAGGGCCCATCACGGGGGGGTGGAGTAGTAAGGTGCCGTCCCAGTCAGCCATGCCCCCCTGTGCGGCCAGGAGAACAGGTCACAGCAGGTAGGGAGCCACCAAGTCCCCAGCCTGCCTGCCCACT